TGTCACTGAATGTTGTGAGGACATGACAGCTGACAGAAGAGACAGATTTCCCCCATCACATTGGCTTTACTCTTTGATTCCAACATGTGAACCTTCAAATGCTATTTTAGCATGAGCTTACCTGGCCCATTCCAGATAATGTGCTAATACAGCACAGATTTTTGTATGCCCTTCCTATGGCAACCATCCTTCAGTTGTCATGAGGCCAGCCACCTCATGACCTATAGGTAATATAATTTGCAACTGAAATATATTAAATAATTGAGACAGTTTCACAGGGTTTTGTCTTACTCTCCTAGTTTGCTGAGGCTGTGTGTGTGTGTGTGTGCATTTCAGTCTCTTTTCCTGTCTTAAAGTTCACTGATTGTTTTTCCCTATATCCAGTCCATTCTGCCGTTGAGCCTATCTGTTGATGTTTATTCATTTATGGTATATTTTATTTCTCAAATGTCTTTTGTTTTTTATTTATATCTTCTAGCTGCTGAGAACAGTAACCTTTTTAAGATTTTGTATTTATTTGTTTTAAGCGTCTTTTCTATTGCCTATCAAAACATTTTATTTTGGCTGCTCTAACAACTCCAACAGCTGTGTCACCGCAGTGTTGGCGTCTACCAATGGTCCTCTTTTCATTCCAAAGATTTTTTTGTTTCCAGATGATTTTTTTTTTTTTTTGAGATGAAGTCTCCCTATAAAGTTCAGGCTGGCCTTAAATGCACTATGTAGCCCAGACTAGCCTTGAACTCATGGTGATCCTCCTGCCTCAGCCTCCCGACTGGTGGGATTGTAGACATGTGCCACTATGCCCAGCTGATCTGAGTGATTTCTCAGTGAAAACTGGAGTCTAGATTCCCCGCTCAGCCTGCACTGACACTTGGGGTGAGAAGGGTGGTAATTGACTCCCTGCCAGGTGTCTGTCGGCACCTCCTGGCAGGGATGCTTGTGGTGCATGTGTTGCTGGGCACATGGTCTCTACAGATGTCTCAGGACTGCTGGAGGGAGTGAAGGCCCTGGTCCCCAGCTCAGCCTCTGTGACACCTGCCAGGGAGCTGGGCACCTCTTTACTCCTTGCTGGTGTGGGAGGGACCCCAGTGTGTCACTGGAGCAGGACAGCCTGTGTTTTGTGTCTTGCAGGCTGTCCCTTTTTCGGGTCCTTTGGCCAGAGAGAGAGCGGGTCTCTCAAGGCCTTGTTTCCCAGTGCTGCTGGGTGTTTCTGGATTGCTGCCTTCTCAGGTCAAAGTCTGAGCTGTCTGATCTAAGAAGAAACCTCAAGAAGGTCAGCCCAGTGCTGAGAGTAGAGTGGGGTCTGTCCTCGGCCTGTTTGCCCTCTTTCCACCACTGGCGTCCTCCTGTGTTTGTGTGGTGTGTGATAACCAGGCCTATTTTGCACTTAGCAGAAGGCGTGGCTGTGCCTCTCCATTTGTGTATATTCAACACTCACACAGACACACAATTGGCTCTACCTAAGGTATCTTAGCAAAGCTTAGTGGCGAGGTGCCCGCTCTGTGCTGAACAGTGACCATACAAAGCAGACCAGTTACAGTCCTGACAACCTTGAGGAGCAGGCGGGGCGCATGTAGATGGCCCCTGAGCGTGGGCACTGTTGATTCAAAGCCACAAGCAGGGTGCCAGGAGAAGGTCACCCTCAGGCTTCAGGGCTCTGTCAGCTATGCCTTCCCAGGACTGAGCTAAGACTCGAAGGGTGTGCTAGGTCTGCGGTGGCAAACATGGTGACAAGGGACATTCGAATATCTCTTGGTATTTCCTGTTCTACCGCTGCTTCTAACAGTTCTGGAAGTGTCACCGTGACTGATTGGTCATGTAGAACTGCTTCTTTTCTCTTGCTTTGTTACAACAATCTGCTCTTAGGGGACATATCAGACTGACATTTGCTGTCCTGCTTAGATTTGTTTTTCTCTCTTATGTTGACTTCCATTTCTTGTTCTTTTCCGTGAAAAAGACTTATTTTATTATTTCATCAGTTTAAAACAGGATCTGATTTTCTCCTATCGGGAACCATAAATTCATGAACCATCCAGTCACCCCTCAAGACATGTGGGGCACTGGGTCCAGGAGCAAACCTCCTCCCTCATTTGGATATCAAAAATTTTGATACCATGGAGGCTGGGGAGATGGCTCAGTAGAATAAGTGCTTCCCTGGCAAGTACAAGGGCCTGAGTTCAATCCCTGGTTCCACAAAAAAACAAAACAAAACACACACACACACACACACACACACACACACACACACACAAACCCACCACACTGTGTGTAGATGCTCAAGCCCTTTATATAATAAAACAGTGTGTTAGCTACATATAACCCATGCATATCCTCCTATATACTTAGTAAGCTATCTCTGGGTTCCTTATACTTAACTACAACATAAATGTTATATTAATTGTTTTTCTATTTTGGGAATAATGAGGGGAAAAAAGTCTGTACCTGTCCAGTATAGATGCAATTTCTTTTCCAAATAATTTCAAACCACAATTGGTTGGCTCCAGAGATGCAGAACTTGGGGATACAGGGCTGAGTGTACACAGACCAACTTGTCTTCCGTTTCTAATAAAGACTATTCTTTACTTTTTCAAATGCAAAATGAAGCCCTCCTTTTTTTATCCTGCATTTTAATGCCAGGCATCCAGTCAGTGCTTTTTGATTTATTTATTTAATTTCTGGCGGCCTCATGATGCCTTCAGGGCAGGTCTGGTGTGGCTTGAGGATCTGGGGATCGAACCACAGCATCCTGAGCCTGGCTTTTAAGCAGGCACTTAAACGACTCAGCTAGTGGGCAGGTGCCCAGCGCTTCTTACATGGAGGAGAATCAGTAACTTTCATAGACAACTCGTGGCAGAAGAAAGAACCAGGCAGGATTTAAAAATATTCTTTTTTTTTTTTTTTTGACTGAACCAAGGATTGAACTCAGGCCCTTGCACTTGCCAGGGAAGCGCTTATTCCACTGAGCCATCTCCCCAGCCCCCTAAAAATATTCTTGAGAAGCAGAGAAAACAGGACAAAGCTACAGGCGAAGGCAAGAGCCTACAGTATGGCCCCGCAGAGTAAGCAGCCTGGAGGAGCACAGGGCTGTTCGGCGGGGCCCCCCTCTCCAGGGGCGCTTGCTACCCGCTCCCCCGCTCCCCCGCTTTTCCTACAGTCCTTCCGGCGTGTGCTCGCCTCGGAGTCGCAGACTGCTGAACTTTGAGACTAACTGCAGCGATGGCACCGCGTGCTGGAGCTTGTCGCAGGAATTTGGGGGCGAGTGAGCACTCCACACACATTTCACAGCTGATGGAAGCAATCCAAGGACCTTTGCCCTGGTTTTGGGCCGGTCTACATTGTAAG